TGGCTGTCTACATGATGTGGCCTGCCTCACGCGGGGGGACTGGCTGTCTACATGATGTGGTCTGCCTCACACAGGGGGACTGGCTGTCTACATGATGTGGTCTGCCTCACGCAGGGGGTGACTGGCTGTCTACATGATGTGGCCTGCCTCACGCAGGGGGACTGGCTGTCTACATGATGTGGTCTGCCTCACGCAGGGGGTGACTGGCTGTCTACATGATGTGGTCTGCCTCACACAGGGGGACTGGCTGTCTACATGATGTGGTCTGCCTCACGCAGGGGGACTGGCTGTCTACATGATGTGGTCTGCCTCACACAGGGGGACTGGCTGTCTACATGATGTGGTCTGCCTCACACAGGGGGACTGGCTGTCTACATGATGTGGTCTGCCTCACACAGGGTGACTGGCTGTCTACATGATGTGGTCTGCCTCACACAGGGGGACTGGCTGTCTACATGAAGTGGCCTGCCTCACACAGGGGGACTGGCTGTCTACATGATGTGGTCTGCCTCACACAGGGTGACTGGCTGTCTACATGATGTGGCCTGCCTCACACAGGGGGACTGGCTGTCTACATGATGTGGGTCTGCCTCACGCAGGGGGGACTGGCTGTCTACATGATGTGGCCTGCCTCACAGGGGGACTGGCTGTCTACATGATGTGGTCTGCCTCACACAGGGGGACTAGCTGTCTACATGATGTGGCCTGCCTCATACAGGGGGTGACTGGCTGTCTACATGATGTGGTCTGCCTCACACAGGGAGACTGGCTGTCTACATGATGTGGGCTGCCTCACACAGGGGGACTGGCTGTCTACATGATGTGGCCTGCCTCACACAGGGGGACTGGCTGTCTACATGATGTGGTCTGCCTCACACAGGGGGACTGGCTGTCTACATGATGTGGCCTGCCTCACACAGGGGGACTGGCTGTCTACATGATGTGGTCTGCCTCACGCAGTGGGACTGGCTGTCTACATGATGTGGCCTGCCTCACACAGGGGGACTGGCTGTCTACATGATGTGGTCTGCCTCACACAGGGGGACTGGCTGTCTACATGATGTGGCCTGCCTCACACAGGGTGACTGGCTGTCTACATGATGTGGTCTGCCTCACGCAGTGGGACTGGCTGTCTACATGATGTGGCCTGCCTCACACAGGGGGACTGGCTGTCTACATGATGTGGTCTGCCTCACGCAGTGGGACTGGCTGTCTACATGATGTGGCCTGCCTCACACAGGGGACTGGCTGTCTACATGATGTGGTCTTCCTCACGCAGGGGGACTGGCTGTCTACATGATGTGGCCTGCCTCACGCAGGGGGACTGGCTGTCTACATGATGTGGGCTGCCTCACACAGGGGGACTGGCTGTCTACATGATGTGGCCTGCCTCACACAGGGGGACTAGCTGTCTACATGATGTGGCCTGCCTCACACAGGGGGACTGGCTGTCTACATGATGTGGTCTTCCTCACGCAGGGGGACTGGCTGTCTACATGATGTGGCCTGCCTCACGCAGGGGGACTGGCTGTCTACATGATGTGGGCTGCCTCACACAGGGGGACTGGCTGTCTACATGATGTGGTCTGCCTCACACAGGGGGGACTGGCTGTCTACATGATGTGGTCTGCCTCACGCAGGGGGGTGACTGGCTGTCTACATGATGTGGTCTGCCTCACACAGGGTGACTGGCTGTCTACATGATGTGGCCTGCCTCACACAGGGGGACTGGCTGTCTACATGATGTGGTCTGCCTCACACAGGGGGACTGGCTGTCTACATGATGTGGTCTGCCTCACAGGGGACTGGCTGTCTACATGATGTGGTCTGCCTCACACAGGGGGACTGGCTGTCTACATGATGTGGTCTGCCTCACACAGGGGGACTGGCTGTCTACATGATGTGGCCTGCCTCACACAGGGGGACTGGCTGTCTACATGATGTGGTCTGTCTCACACAGGGGGACTGGCTGTCTACATGATGTGGTCTGCCTCACACAGGGGGACTGGCTGTCTACATGATGTGGTCTGCCTCACAGGGGGACTGGCTGTCTACATGATGTGGTCTGTCTCACACAGGGGGACTGGCTGTCTACATGATGTGGTCTGCCTCACACAGGGGGACTGGCTGTCTACATGATGTGGTCTGCCTCACGCAGGGGGACTGGCTGTCTACATGATGTGGTCTGCCTCACGCAGGGGGACTGGCTGTCTACATGATGTGGTCTGCCTCACACAGGGGGACTGGCTGTCTACATGATGTGGTCTGCCTCACAGGGGGACTGGCTGTCTACATGATGTGGCCTGCCTCACAGGGGGACTGGCTGTCTACATGATGTGGTCTGCCTCACACAGGGGGACTGGCTGTCTACATGATGTGGTCTGCCTCACACAGGGTGACTGGCTTTGATCATGATGTGGCCTGCCTCACACAGGGGGACTGGCTGTCTACATGATGTGGTCTGCCTCACGCAGGGGGACTGGCTGTCTCCATGATGTGGTCTGCCTCACACAGGGGTGACTGGCTGTCTACATGATGTGGTCTGCCTCACACAGGGGGACTGGCTGTCTACATGATGTGGTCTGCCTCACACAGGGGGACTGGCTGTCTACATGATGTGGTCTGCCTCACACAGGGTGACTGGCTGTGATCATGATGTGGCCTGCCTCACACAGGGGGACTGGCTGTCTACATGATGTGGTCTGCCTCATACAGGGTGACTGGCTGTCTCCATGATGTGGCCTGCCTCACACAGGGGGACTGGCTGTCTACATGATGTGGTCTGCCTCATACAGGGGGACTGGCTGTCTACATGATGTGGCCTGCCTCACAGGGGGACTGGCTGTCTACATGATGTGGTCTTCCTCACACAGGGGGACTGGCTGTCTACATGATGTGGCCTGCCTCACACAGGGTGACTGGCTGTCTACATGATGTGGTCTGCCTCACACAGGGGGACTGGCTGTCTACATGATGTGGTCTGCCTCACGCAGGGGGACTGGCTGTCTACATGATGTGGTCTGCCTCACGCAGGGGGTGACTGGCTGTCTACATGATGTGGTCTGCCTCACGCAGGGGGACGGCTTGTCCTACATGATGTTGGTCTCTGCCTCACACAGGGGGGAACGGGCTGTCTACATGATGTGGCCCTGCTCACACAGGGGACTGGCTGTCTACATGATGTGGTCTGCCTCACGCAGCAGGGGGAACTGGGCTGTCTACATGATGTGGTCGGCCTCACACAGGGGGACTGGCTGTCTACATGATGTGGTCTGCCTCATGCAGGGGGGACTGGCCTGTCTACATGATGTGGCCTGCCTCACGAGGGGGCACTGGCTGTCTAACATGATGTGGCCTGCCCTCACAGGGGGGGGACTGGCTGTCCTACAGATGGTGGTCTGCCTCACAGGGGGACTGGCTGTCTACATGCTGTGGGTCCTGCCTCACAGGGGGACTGGCTGGTCTACATGATGTGGGCCATGCCTCACACAGGGGGACTGGCTGTCCACATGATGTGGTCTGCCTCACAGGGGAGACTGGCTGTCTACATGATGTGGTCTGCCTCACACAGGGGACTGGCTGTCCACATGATTGTGGTCTGCCTCACACAGGAGGGACTGGCTGTCTACATGATGTGGTCTGCCTCACGGGGGACTGGCTGTCTACATGATGTGGTCCTGCCTCACACAGGGGGACTGGCGGTCTACATGATGTGGTCTGCCTCACAGGGGGACTGGCTGCTACATTGATGTGGTCTGCCTCACCACAGGGGGACTGGCTGTCTACATTGATGTGGTCTTGCCATCACAGGGGACTGGTGTCTACATGATGTGGTCTGCCTCACCAGGGGGACTGGCTGTCTACATGATGTGGTCTGCCTCACAACAGGGGGGACTGGCTTGTCTACATGATGTGGTCTGCCTCACAGGGGGACTGGCTGTCTACATGATGTGGTCTGCCTCACACAGGGGGACTGGCTGTCCACATGATGTGACCTGCCGACATGGCCACTGTCATACAGATCATAAATCAAAGCCCTTGATTGGTCTCTGTGTGTCATTCAAGCTCGGGATAACCTCAGCTCAGGTGAGGTAAAGGACTCTGAGGGTTTAGATAGGTAACTTAGTCTAAGTTCTCAGTGGGTCTCAAACGGTTTGGTCACCATTTATGTAAACACATATTTCCATTTGAGGGTGTCAGTGTTTTTTCATATTGGATATGTTGTTGGTTATGGGCATGATTTTATGATTATTTAAATGTATACAGTTCTGTTTCATATAGGTGTTCCCATAGATCTAGTCTCTTTATTTGCCCCTCAAAGGGCACCAGATTGATGCATTTAACTCCAACATTAAACAAATAACTTACCGGGGGAGCATGCACCCGGACCCCCCCCCAGAGGATTTGAGGTCCACCCCCACACTTAAGATCACATGGATAGGTTCCTAACTACATTTACCATTTTTCTTTTTAAATAGCAACCCATGACCGTGTGTTTATTTGTGGGCAGTAGATTTAGACTATAGGGCTATCACTATGGGCCCCGCATGGACCTGTTCGCTCTGCCATCGCGTGAGGGGTCTGCTAACAAGCCACCACCAGAAAGGTTCATGTCAATGTTGTTGCACGTCACCTCAACCCCCCCCCCCCCCCCCCGCTACCACCACCCCCCCAAGTATATTTAAAATCTGTGGGAAACACTGAACACACACACACTGATCAGAACACACACACACACTGATCTGAACACACACCCTCAGGATGTTTGCAGATTTCCCCCCCCCCTCTCTCTCTGTGATGCTGCCACAGAGGGTGAAAACAACAGAGTGTGAGTGTGACGGCTGCAACAGAAATAGACAGAAAGCGACTGAAAGAGGAAGGTCTGATGGGCGAGAGAGAGAGAGAGGGGGGGGGAGAGAGGAGAGAGAGAGGAGAGAGGAGGGGAGGAGAGACGAGAGAGGGGGGAGAGCAGCTCACTACTAGTTGAGGCGAGAGGAGGAGGGAGGCAGATCACAACTTCCCCTCTCTGAGGATATTTCTCTCCTGCAGGAGGGCACGATGCTGAGAACCTGATCTGCTGCGTTAGCGTTAGCGACATGAAGACAGAAGAGGGACAGGAAGTGACATTATGTGGATATAAAAACACGCTGACCCTTTTTACCATCTTTGGAGAATGAGTGAAGCGTGAAATGAAAAGCGTTCGACCCGGATGATAAGTCATCAGGAGAGTGTGGTGTGTGTGTGTGTGTGTGGTGTGTGTGTGTGTGTGTGTGTGTGTGTGTGGTGTGTGTGTGTGTGTGTGTGTGTGTTTGTGTGTGTGTGTGTGTGTGTGTGTGTGTGTGTGTCCGTGATGGGATAAATGGATTTGCAAGAGAAGAGAGGAAGTCTCCGCGCGATGTTTGGAATAAAACTCACGACGGAGAAATATTTTTTGATGTGAATCCACTTTTTGTTTCCACTTTGACCGGTGTACGCTTGGTTTATCTTCACAAACGCCTGCTGGGTTGGGTTTTGTTCGCCTGGACCTCCCTGACGCTCTGTTTCCTGGTGGTTTACCCTCCAGATGGATGCATGTGCGATCGCCTCATTCAACATTAACCGGGTTTCACCAAACAACGAGCACGCCGGCGTGTTTGTGCCCGAAGCCTGACTGCAGATCAGCTCTCCGTCTGAGTTTAAACATTTACAGCGACGTGTGAAGACACTGGAACTCCAGAGCTGCGGACTGTTTACTGATTCATGGTTAGGCGATTCATATCAGGAATGTTAGTCCAAACCCAAAGGTATTCACTTTAATATGACAGAGAGGCTGCACACAGACTCAGTGCATGAAACTACTTCATCGATTCATTCACTAGGAGGAGATTATTTGTTTCAATTGCTCAGAGTTTTGTTTGTTTGATACGTCAGAGTGGATCGCAGCAGAATCAGAACATCTCTATACATCCCACAGAGGGGACGTTTACACTGTAACAGCAGCAGTAAAGAGTAGCACAACATAATTAAGAAAACATGCATAAAGTATTACGATACGATAATACTTTATTGGTCAGATGAAGTCTGACATTTGCTTGCATCCCAGCAGCTCCATGTGTAACATCAACACATGAGAAACAAACAACAAACATTGACCATAACCAAGAGGAAACCTGAAGAGCCTTCAGCGTGCATTTGATCTGGATTCAGCTCTGTATTTACTGAGAGGACTGACTGGAGCACAAAGGAGTGTTTTCAGTCTGACTTTATTGAATCGCGGGACCCTGTATCCCCCATTAGATGGTATTCAAGATAAAAATAGATATTAGGAGGTGAAGCGACTCTCTGAAGACAGAGATATATATCCCAGAGTAATCGCTGGCATCATGCAGGGCGTGGAGGCATCATGGTGGTCCGTGGTCCTGTTGTTAGTGAGTCTCAAAGCCTCCCCCTGCCTCCCTCAGGACTCTCTCCCAGAATGCATCTGTGCCTCGGACATCCTGAGCTGCACCGACGCCAATTTGACCGGACCCCCCTCAGAAATGCCCGTTTCCACCGTGACTCTTGACCTCAGCCACAACCGTCTCCAACAACTAGAAGGCGGCGGATTTGAAGAACTCTACCGACTGGAAACATTACGATTATCTCACAACCAGGTGAGCGCCGTACATCCGGGGGCGTTCAGAAACACCTCTCGACTGCGACATCTTGACCTGTCGTCCCAATCAGCTGCGAACTTTGGAGCATCACTTCTTCCTGGATGTGCCGATGCTAGAAGAGTTGTTGCTGTTCGACAACCGCATCGTCCGGGTGGAAAGCCGAGCGTTTGCGGGACTCAGCGGATTGAAGAAGGTTTACCTCAGCCACAACCTACTCACTGACTTTCCGTTTTTCTCGCTGCACAGCCAGCCTCACCTGTCCACGTTCGATTTGTCCTCTAATCGTCTGAACAGATTGCCCCTTCAGGACATCTCCAACCTGCCGATGATTCTACAGAGAAACCTCTACCTGCACAACAACTCTCTGGTGTGCGAATGCGCCATGTTCAGCTTGTTTCGGGTGTGGGAACAACAAGGATTCCCCTCGATGACGGATTTCAGGAAGGATCACGTCTGCCTGGTGTTCGCAATCCCAAGAGGCACCGTTCGCTTCTTCCAACACGACCGATACTTCGAGAAGTGTGACATGACTTCGATCCAGCAGGAGGGCAACGTCTCTGTGAAAACGGGGGGTCGTTTGTTGCTTCACTGCGTCACCTCGCTCGCCCGTCGCCAACTCACCTTCCACTGGGTTTCTCCGCGGCAGGAATACGTGGCGCCGCCCGGGAACAACGGAACCATGAGGATGTTTCCTAACGGCAGCTTGGAGATCTTGAAGGCCAAATCCAATGACTCTGGGATCTACTGGTGTTTGTCTCTTGAT